ATGTTTTCACCAAGCCCTTGGCTTCACTGCAGTTTACTTCTTTTGTTAGCAAGTTGCATGTGCATTCTATACCCATTCACTTGAGGGGGTGTATTGAGGATAAGGATAAGATGACCAAGCCACATAGCAATCAGTTAACGTGATGTGCTGCACCACTGTTTTATTTCCTGTTTTATCTGCATGTAACTCTGTCTAATTCAGTGATATACTTGTATTTGAACTCTACAACTTGTGATTATAAATAGCAAGGTTCTGGGTGGAGCTCAACCACCGAACCTCACTGTTTTGTTCATCCTTCTGGAATCATTTGAGAAATTCTATTCAGCTATTGGGTGTTTCCTAATCTCTGTGAAGGTCTTGTTAGTTGGGTGGATGATTCAAGGAATGTCCAAGAGAGGGAAAGCTTGTTGGGAGGTGGTTCCTCTAGCTGTGCTGTGGGCATTATGGTTTGAAAGGAATAGTAGAACTTTTGAGCAGAAATCGATTCCGGAGAAGGTGGTGATCAATTTGGTGGTTGGCATGTTGAGAGCTTGGCTGTCAACTCTTACATGTTTCAGTCCCGATGACCTCTTGTCCACTTTCTTGATATATAAATTTTTTTGGGGGGTGCTTAAAGGAGTTTCTTGTATAAAATACTTTTGTACAAAGCACAATACTTGTATATATATTTTTTCTCAGTTAATATATTTTAGGGAGAATGACTGATCAGCCCAGGGTCAGAATTTATAGGCTCAAAGTACTGTCGGGGTAGGTGCCAGCTCAGAATTGATGCCAATTCACGGGCGGGTGTTGGTGCATAGAGTGTGGGTTGTTGACCATTTGAATGTTTATAGCTCTGCAGTGGAAATCAGAAATCTGCATTGGGCAAATCCGTATTTCTCCGTATATTTTATACTTCTCTCAAAATGAACTTGGTGAGAGTTATCCATTGTTCTTCCCTTGTATCACATTTCATAGACAAGTCCTTGAATTGGTTAGGTAACCTTTATGTGGGAGGATGTTTTTCTTTCAATTTAGCTTTCATTTCAGCCCACAAAGTGATGGGCGCCTCACCTAGATGCTCAATGTTCCGTTGGACTCCTCGCGAATAATGCTTGGCAGACCCTATTAGCTTTATGTTGGTGCAACAAACACATTGGGTACCAGACATGTTATACTGGCCAAAGTAGTCTTCCATATCTGCTAACCAATCTAGGAAAGCACTAGGGTCTAATCTACCATCATAGATAGAAACATCCAGTTTGACCTTACTTTGTGATTTCACCACCCTCTGGGAGATCTTTTCGGTCATCTTGAATCCTACCTTGACGACTTGGAGAGGACTGGCTATATCTAGGATGATCCTCAAAATCACTCTCGAAATTCATTCTCATCAGCTAATATTCTTGTAGGTTGTTGGTATGGCACCCACTGCCTAACACCTAATGGGATTGCATATAAGCATATCCTGAGTTTGCAACTTGACTCTCCTTGCCCATTTTCATTAACGGTTGATGGATCCTTGTAGGTTGAGTTGGAAGAATGCCTGGTTGTTGAGAACTAGAACTAGGGGTTGCCTATTTTCATAATTATGCCCTATGGTACTCTTGGGGATCATTCCTTGAGTCTTCAATAGGACAATTGCGAATTGACACATATATTTGTTTCATTAATTCAGTCTTAGAATCTTTAAGGGCATTTATATCTGAACTAAGAGTTTGTATTTTTTCTTCAAAAAATTCTTTTGTTTCTTCTTGGACTTTGGTCAAGGCTTCTTGTCTCTTGGACAGGGCTTCTATCCTAGTAGAAAGTTCAGCATTGGTAACCATAATGATAGAGTATTAAGGAAAGGATAATAGAATGAAAGTAAAAGGATGCAATGTCAATACAGATAAAATATCACAAATAAGTAATTAAAACTCTAAACTAATGCAAGGCACTCTTAGAAAATCTAAAATTCTAAAGGAAACTATGCTAGGCTCATGCAGAATATAGGTGTTTGATATATATAGGAAACAAGTATAGAAATAAAGAGGCGTGCCTTTTTTTTGAATGAAAGAAAGATGAAGGTACGCAATAATATGCAGGTTATTGATGGTAAGATGGCTACCTATATATTTTCGGCTTTCACAGGATTGTTAAGGACCTTATAGCAATGACCAGTTTACTCAACAGATAAAGGAACTAATCCAAAACCCAAATGGAGGAGATATACCTTTCTGAAGTCCCTGAAATTACCTTCCTATTCAACTGTGATGTGTTTTCTGGATTCTGGCCAGAACTGAATACTCGATCCTTTGGGCCGGTGACCTCTAACGTTTTAGGATTCAGCTACGACAAATGATTTCTCAGGCCTCCTGATGGTTTGTGTGTCATTGGTAAGTGGAAGTGTTGGTCCAAGACAAGGGCCTGGAGGCTTGGTGCTTCAGTTGCGGGAAATGAATACAACTTCCCAAAGTTATTTTTCTACCCAAGAAGTTGTTTCTTCTGCTACTACACTACGTTCTTTTAATGTGAATTAGCGGATGGTTCAGGTTATAAGGTTGGGTGACTGGCATGGAACAGAAAAACAGGGAAGAGATTAAGAGAATAAAGGATTTGAGGAGAAAGAGAAGAGAAGGGAAAGAAAGATAAAACAATGAAGGGGACAGGGGCGGTGCTGATTGTAATTTTTCAGCTGTAGCAACAGGAAAGGGAAAAGAAAATAGAGAAAGGAAGAAGAAAAAACAGAAGAGGAAAGAAAAAAGAAGAGAAGAAATAGAAGAAACGAAGAAGGAAGAGTGGGAGAGAAAGAGGCAGTGGGAGAAGAGAGGGGAACAACAGGAGAGGAAAAGTGATTGGGTGAGATGGCACTGTTAAGGTTCTTTTGCTGAAAACAGAATAGGGGAAGGAGAGGAAGAAAGAAAGGAAGGAGAAGAAGAAGAGCTGCAGCTGCTTTGGTTCAGTGATTGAGTTGGGCAGAGGCATGGGACTGAGCCTTGGCTCTGATACCAAACTGATGCAGCACCACCTGTTAGAAGAAAGGAGGAAGAAACAAGAGGAAGAAGAGAAGCAAGAGAGAAGACAAGTCGTAGAAGAGAACTTGAAACTTTTCTATTTCTGAAAACATAATATATCCCTAATACATATGTTAGCCTTTATAAGAAACTTAAGATTGAAAATTACTAGTAAACCCCCACTAAATATAAAAATGACAAGTAACCACATACTAAAAGGAAATATTACAAATTTGTAAAGAGACTGGGCCGAATGGGCTCTAACAGCCTCTCTTGTAATATCTTTTATGTTATGTTGATGGGCCACACTTAATGGGCCAGTTATTCATTCTTGTTTATTTCCTTTATGTAACTGCCAAGCTGGCCGCCCACTTAAGGGCATACTTTTCATCATTAATTTTTTTAGATCTTAATAAAATAGGGTTAGAGGAGAATGGAGATTTAATTCGACTCCTTCTCCTACCTCTTCTCTTCGCCATCTTCTTCTCTTATACAGTTATTCAGACCTGTTTTATTCTGCTAATCACTGAATTTAAACATTGATATTAGAGGACTGATTTACATCTAAATTAACCTAATAAAAGAAGAAACTTTACAAATGACCCAAAATTCTACATTAAGCAAAATAAGCCCTAAACTAATGTTGTCTGCGCGTAATGTAAGTGCAAAATGTGCAGGGCGCATCAGTCTCAGTGTGATCTCTATCAATTGTTCTTTGGGCCCAAACTTCAGATATGATGTAATGGAGTTCAGAAAACTTCCAAATAATAGACTGATCAGAACAGTTTTTAAAAAGAAAAATTTGAACAGTATTTTCTGACATGAAAAAAGAAAATATATATAGAAAGATTGAAGAGGCCAATTGCAGAGATCACATTCTGCTTGATTCTCTTCCAGTCTTGAAACCCTTCAACACTCTTTCATTCCTTCTTTTCTGGTCTGACACACTTTGTAATCAGACAGAATGAGTTAGGAAACCATCTCTGGTACCACGGTACTTCTGCCAAATAAACTGCATTGGACAAAAAAGGAAGAGCAGACAAACATAGTACTGCTCTATGAACAGTGAAAGATAGCTGATTAGTCAACTGTATATCCTATATTATTAACCTAAGTAATATTAAATGAAGTTACAAGGATGCCATTATGGGTTGCTGACTTTCTGTACAGAAACAATAGTATACAAGATTAAAACTGAATATTTTATGCTCCAATGCAGAGTGAACTTATAAAACCTCTCATCTTCTACTTAACTTGCATTGAAGTCCAGCACAAGAAAATTTGGAATGGGATCCAAGAGAATACAGGCAATCCTATGGTTGTGTGATTTGGAAAGGAACTGGAATGCCTTGTTCCTCTTTCATGAAGGGTATATGATATAAAATTGGTAAAAGAGTTGGGAGAGATCCATGGTTTGTTGATTGTCCCCTCATGGAAATATATTCCTCCCTCTTTATTGTAGCTTAAGATAAGGATGCCCTCATTGCGGAGTGCATTGATATTCACACCAAAGAAATATGGAATCCTAGACTGGACAGTCTCAATAGGAGGGGTCTGATAATATAAATTGCATTCTGTTTTCCAACACTCTCATGTGGTCTGACTTTTTGGCGATTGTCAGACTAATGGTGTTTCTCCGGTTCTGTAGAAGCCTTCTTCTGTAACTGGCATTTTACAGATTTGAGGCATTGGAAAACATGATCAGCACAGAAATTGCAGAAGTATGTTTGGCTTTGCAGAACTAACTATTGAATGTTGGTGATGGGTTGGTCTGGTTTATTTTTATGCTTGATTTCACCTTGGTCTCCCACAATATCTGCTTCTGTATCATATTCAATTTGTCTAAATTGTCCTCTCCACACATTTAATTGCATGTTTATTTATCCATTTTTGGACATTAATTTATCTTTCGTGGTTCAATGTTTTATTATCTGTAATTAGGTTGTTGCTAATTATTTAGTTTTGTGTAGTCCTATTGCCATTAGTCCACTTATTGCTGACCTAGAATTTTTGCTACTTTTCCAGCTGATTTCTGCAGCTGACCGCCATAGGCAATCCACAGATCATCCCATCAAGTTCATATCAAGAAAGCATCCAAACTCCCTTAAATTCAAGATAAAACCAGGTATGTATCTTTAAATAGCAGTTCTCTAAGGTAACTACAAATATCTTGATCTAAAATCACCTTACCAATTGTCAGAATGTGGGTACTAGCCTACTAGGTAGCAAGGTTTTAAGTATCGGTACATATTGGCCAATGGGTTTAGTGCTACGTGGCATAGGTGGAATTGCCCATTTTCAGTACCATTCCATCCATATCAGGTTGTATCGAAAGTATCAGCCATGTATCATGAAGAAACAAAGAAGAAATAGAAAGAAGAATTAACTAACCTCCAAAATTAGTATATTTTAAGTATTAATGAGATCTATATTGGCTTTCTAAGTGTATCCGTGCATATCTTAGTTATTCCACCATTTCTCAATGTTTTCAAACCATTAAAATGTATTTCTTGTGTTTATACCTTGTATATTGTAATCTGATCCTTAGATGAGTTAGTTATTTATGCATTTATAAGATTTATACGAATTTCCCTAGCATGTCCAAACATATCCTAATCATTTCACTGTATTCATGCATGTACTAGGTGTATCCTCGTATGTTTCTCAAGGTTGCCTTTAAAATATTTTTTGTGATAGCAATACTTCGAAACTTGTTTAATTCTTGGTGATTTCATTTCCCTTGATCGGATACATGGCCCATTGGAGCACCAGTTTAAATAAATTTGAACTAAATGCATTTACTTTTCAATCAGGTCCAGAGGCTGGTGGACTAGATGGCCGGACAAAGAAAATCTCTTCATTTCTGTTCCACCCATTCTTGCCCCTTGCTCTTTCCATCCAACAGACATTCTTGCAACCATCTGTTGTGAATATTCACTTCCGGAGATAGTAAATTTCCTACTGCCTGTTGTCTCATATTTGCAGAATTCTTTTTCAGGGAAGGGGATGAACCAAGAAGCAACGTACTAATAGCTGAAGATATATATATATATATACATATATATATTTATTTATTTATAGTGAACAGTAGTATTTCCGTATGTCACACACTTGTCGGCCCTGATATTTTCTGTTTCCGTAGAGTGTTGCACTTGCAATGAGCAAATGAAGGATCTTAGTTTTCTGACTTCTAATTGTAATTGTTAAGTGGTTTGTTACCTTAGGTTTTATATATATATTAGTATTAAAAGTGTGAGGTCTAGATAGTAGATTCTGGAACTTTTTTTTTTTAACTAAAATATCTTTTTTTTTTTTTAAATTTGGTTCCTCTTTATTATGAGGGCTAAAAACATAATTTGAAAAACTTTATTAAATTCATTCCATTCCCTCTCACGAAGCCTTATATCTAAGGTATTAATCAATGTTTAAAAGTATCGGAAACACATGATGTATGAAGATATAATTTTAAGAGTTGTACTAAGATGCGCTTTGGATATCCAAAAAATTAAGAGACATGGATATGTTAGAAAATTCAAATAAGTTCTAAAAAATATATTAATAATAATGAGTTTTATCTGAATATAAATAAATTATTTAAACATAGAAAAATATATTAAGAGTTATATAAAGTGTGAATTATTCAAGCTTAGTTGGTAACCATTGAAAAATGATGGGAAAACTAAAATGTGTATATATAATTATATATCTTAATTTTTAGATAATAAATACACTTTGTTTATATTTATTAATTTATAAATTTTAATAGTAAATTTTAACATTTATTGACAAACATGCATTAAGAAGAGAAAAGTTGCTTGAAGGTAATAGTCAACTTGTCATTTTAAATTAATGACTAGTATCTTGTGATTTTTAATGGGCTATTTTAGTAGCATGTTAAATTCAAATCTGAATTTTAATGGTCTTAAATATAGCCTTAAATGTTGCATTTAATTCAAATTCAAAATTGAATGTTTCCTTTAATGGCATTCAAGAATCTTAATTAAGTGTGGTTTAGTTAAGAGGGAGGGAAATAAAATTTGAATTTGAAAATCATTAAAATTCGAATTGTGGAGCCAATACATACGTTGTATGTATCAGGTTGTATTAGGCCTATATTGGTTGATACATACCTGATATAGGCCAATATGAGCCCATATCTGTCCGATGCAAATGTAAAGGTTTGAAATTTGCCATTTCTACATGTTTCATGTATCGGGCCCTTAGCAAAATGATACGTATCAATCGATATTACTTGATACGTTATGAAATTCTAAACCTTGGTATTAACTCTAATCCCCTCTCATAATATAGTAATGCATTTTTCTTGATTAAAATACCCTTAGTTATGAATTTAGTCTCTGTAATTGTGTGGACATAAAATATAATTTAAAGTACTGTTGCTTCCAACTATATTTAATTCTCTTTCATTAAGGTATTAATTCCTATTCTTTCCACAGGGCGCCTATGTGTTGAAATTTTAAATTGTTAGTTTTATTAAGTTTTTTTGCTTTTCCTATACATTTCTAAACTCTTTTATTGGTTTTGTGTGCTAACTAGCAAGCATGTACACTAACTATTTATATTAGAAATCATTCAAATGAGTATAAATTTCATATAAAAAGATAAAAATATTAAATATTATGAATTTAGCATGTATTCATGACTTCATGTTCAACATTTAAATATATTATTTTCAACAAAAAGGAGTCCAAACCAACTACACTAAAAATAAACTAATAAATATTTTTTAAGTTCACAAATGCATACCTTTGAGTTTGAGGTGAATGTTGAATATTGTCCTTGAGTGATCTCTCTTTTCTCACTTTGCCTTTAACAAGCAAAAAAAAAAAATCAATAATGAATTAAACAAAATGCATTGAAAATTTACAACAAATGAACAAAGAATAAAAATAATTATGTAGGAACCAAATCAAACACAGGCACATACCTTGATTGAAAGTTTGATATCTATTATAGCCATTTAAAAGGAAGTAGATAAGAATTAAATCAAACAATGAATAAAACTATAATAGAAAAAAAAAACATGGCACTTAGGAACTTATTAAAGAACATATAATAAAAACAGAAAAGTAGAAATCATCTCCAATTCTCCACAAAAGGATAACAAAACATGAAGTTTATAGATGTATCATACTATCATGATAAATAAAGAAAAATATCTAACTAATTTCAATATCTAGGAAATAAGAACCTGTGACCCTTCCACTAAATCCACCAACATCATCAACATCAACATCATCATCATCCCTATCAAGTTTTATGACTTCATCTTCATCTTCATCCTCAATGTTTCTATCCTACATTGAGTCTTTCTCTTCTTCATTTTGCACAACACTTTTTCCTTTGTCTTGTCCCCTACCATCACTTCTCCCACGATTATCTCTACCTTTGTTTTTACTTGCACTTGTATAAACTATACATGCACTTCTCTTCGGCCTATTTGATTCTTTAATGGCTTTCATGAAATAGCTCATTTGTTGATTCTTTTTGAGGGGATGAGAGATTCATCGTATGGATAGTCGAACCCTACAGGAAGGTAGGACGAAATTTCAAAAATTTCTTTCTCCCATATGGGAATCACATTTCCTGTTTTAGAAAATCTGCATTTTCAATGATCAATTTGAAACCAAAACGTAGGAGAGGGATATACCTGATACGGAGTAACAGTAACTCCCAACGAACATGTTCACACCCAAGGAAAACTCCAAAGACTGTTCCCACTGAAGATGACACAGCGTAGAGTGGAGTAAAATCAATAGGTTCTTCACAAGAACTGAATCTTTCAGCAAAATTTCGATGAAGGGAATGTGAGCACGATTTTAGATCAGTTTTTCACCAAAAACTGATATCAAGAACACTTCTTGATCGCTCTTACAGTGGAGATCGAACTGGCAATGGCGGCAGCAAGAGGAGGGCGCAAGAGCAGAAGATGACGTTGTCTTACTATAGCTGTCTTCTCTCTTTCTGTGATATAAGATATGATGTATTGAGATAAATGGAGGTTCGCCCTCCTCCTCCTTTTATAGCCTTAAATAGAACACCTAATTTCATTAGGAGTTTCGTAATCCAAATCTATATTTGGATCAGGACTTCTCTTTAAGAGATAAAGATAAGCCCTTATCTTATCTGTAGATTAGATCAACCCTCATAAGTTTTGTATGTAAAGACAATCTTTAAGTACAAGAATTCATTCTCTAAAAACTAGTTCTACAGTTCCAATTGCCGCACCTACAACACTTGCAGTCATTTCCAAGAAAAGTGTTACTTCCCATTCACTCAGCCTTCTGCTTACTTTGAACTCCTGCAGTGAATTACACGCATGAGTTGAAGCCCCAGATTCAATACACTAGGACACAGAAGTGATTAATAAATTAGTCTCAATGACACAAGTTTCGAAAGTACATTTCTTAGATTTCAGGTAGGCAGGACAGTTCCTCTTCCAGTGGCCGGCCTGCTTGCAGAAGTGATAGGCATCGAATGCCTTGTCTTTCTTTTGTTCCTTAGACTTAGTGGCCTTTTTCTAGGGTTTCCTCTTTGCCCTCATCTTCTTGCTAGATTTGCCAGCTTCAAGAAGCATGGCTATCGGCTCATCATTCCTAATTAGTTCCTCGGCTCGTTGTAACATATTGTTGAGCTCTTGAACGTTGACATTCAGCTTTTTCATATTATAATTCATTATGAACGGATTGAATGACAGAGGCAAGGAGTTAAGAATGGCGTCTATCTGTGTGACCAGATCTAGCCCGGACCTAAGGGCCTCCAGGTCGTTTATGTAACCCATCATCCAGAGACAATGGTCATTAACTTGCTCCCCCTTGGTCATCTGCGCGGTCATGAACTGCTTCAGGACCTTTTGTCGAGTAGAACGGGTCTGTTCTTAGTACATAGTTTTTAGACTATCCAATATGTCATTGGCGAGTTCGATCTGATCGAACTGCCTCTGTATCGGATTATCTAAAGAGGCTATGATATAGCAGCGGGCTAAGGAATTTTTCGCCTCTCATTCTTGCTATTCCCTCCTACAGGCTTTTGAAGCCCTGTCTCCTGGATGATCCGGTGCAGGATTCTTTGCTTGTTATTCCCTCCTAATTTTTTTGAAGTCAGGACCAACATAATGTTTTTGTACCAGTCGATATAGTTTAGGCCCTTGAGCTTGTTGTCGTCAAGAAGCTTTGCAAATTGTCCGTTTGCCATTTTCTGGTAAACAGCAAAACGTTAGTCCACAACCTTAGTTTGATTCATGTTACCTACATAGATATGGCTTTCAATCTATGTTCCATTTCCATTTGTTTATCTCTGAGATTTCCCTCCTATCTCAGTGACGGAGACGGTGAAATGTCTCTGGAAATGTGGGAAATCACATAGGGCGTGTGGAGCCAACTGTTTCAGCTGCATAACCCCACTACCTTTCTGTGACGGATCATATCCACTCATTATATGAGTTTCCCTTTGGCCTTTATCAGACAAGGTTCAGAGCCGTTTTCAGGTAAACCTTTCTGTCTAGTGAGTGCTCACCCATCATATTCAGGTTACACCAAGGTACCGTGAGAGAGTTCCCATTTTCTGGTGAAGCCCCTTCCACATCGGTCTATGATGCCCCTATCATCTTATGAAACACTCTGACAGATCCAACAACAAATGGATAACCCGATTTTATGGTGCGTTTCCTCATTACTGAATGACCCATCATCGTGCTAATGACGGAAGGCCTTTAGATAGTCCATCATATGGATCTCCCTATCACATGCACTCATATTTGCTGGAGGGAACAAAATTACGCCCTATCATTAATTTAGGTCAAACTAGAGTGGCTCCCACTGACTTTCATAAAGTCAGATTTATGGTGGCCCAATTCGGTTAGGGTTTCCACACGCGTCCCTTTTCAGGGTTGTGGGGCCCACCATGACAAGAAGGGGTCATACAAAGACCGTAATGGACACTATGGCAATGATGTGCGCAAGAACCACTAACAAATCATCATGGGCCAAGTGCTTATGGCCCACGGTCGCAGCACATCAAACATCCACACATCACATGACATGGAAGAATTGATCCAATCAATTAACTACTGTAAAACCCATTAATCAGCTTGTTTAAGGTCCGCAATATTAACCATTAATATCATCTAGGTATATGGGTTGAATCGCAGTTAGCAGTTCGCCCCATATAGCTTTTAGGTAAATCTGGGCTTTTGCAGTTTTAACCCCTTAAAATTGGGTTTTACAGGTTGGGCCAAATTGG